GGGAAGAGCACTAGGTACAAGCTGAGACGCGTACCGATGACAGCGAAACCCGAGAAGCTTGCATCGGCGAGCAACTTAGGAGGGTTGCGTGCATCACCGATCAGGACGGTGTAGTAATAGGCACTGTTGAACGTGAAAGAATTCAGCCCTGGCCCAGGTCAGGGGCAGACCTAGATGACAATACGTACACAATCGCCGAGGTGACTTTGTAAGTGCTGTGATTATGCCGGGATCAATGAAAGATGTCCGAGTGATCACATGAACACGCGGCGTACCCGGAAGGGAAGTAGACAACTGCGGGTTGGGTAGTAGTCGAGTCGCAACCTTCGCCGCACCTAGTGCCAGACGAGATAGCATTGCTGCACAAAGCCGATACCTCAGCGGATGCACGTCAACTCAATAGAAGTGAGATAGCGTACTTGATTGCGGCGGTGTCGTCCGTTACACCGTCGCCAACGGCGCCGAAGTCCTTGACGTTGCGGAAGACCTGATACCCACTAGGGTCCGCATTGAAGGCAGCGATACCTTGGTGCTTGATGCTCTGCAGCCAGTAGGGGTCCCCTGCAGCGGCTGTGCCAGTGACACCGGTTGTAGAGCAGCTCTGGCCTAAGACGGGCGCGACCAAAGACGTCGCCGCCGCGAAGAAAGAAAGAATACCAAACGAGCGCATGGCGGAAAGACGACGCCGGGGCCGCAGCGGATTTAGTAGGAAGACCAGACGAATGTCGATGGACGATTATATATCGCCCCGGGCCATAAGGGCGGTGGGGGGCCGGGACCACATGTCACGCAAATGAAAAGTAAGAAAACCGTGTGCACGACGGCAACGCATTCGGACATATTATGAAGGGAAACGTACGGGTAAAGTTTACAGGTGCTTGTAGTTCAGGTTCACTGCCAAATCTGAACTGCTGAGGATGCGATCCGACCCACGCGCTGGCAGAGCCGGCAGCTAGCGCATCATTCTGAGAAGGAGCAGAGGCAGCGTGATCGCTGGTCGCATGCCTGACCATGATGTCAATGCAGCCGAGGATTCCGTTGCCAGACGGATTGCGTGTTCAAGGAAAGAGGCGGTAACAACCTCGATCGGAGACAAGTCGTGCTGGTCGCCGGCAGGCTACCGACCTCTCTCGCAGCCGCCCGGGCGTCCATCGCATCACACCCCTGTAGATCCTGCATATCCACTTCCAAGCTGGGTTCCATCATGCATTCGTCCTCCATATCTCAACCACATGAAGCTAAGCATGGCCTCGCGATCACTGACATCATCCCTGTCTCCCCAGCCCAGGACAGCAACGTCCCCTGCATCGTGCATAAGCGAGTTCTGCGCCGACAATCGTAGTGCCATATCTTTTTCCAGAATAGTCGAGCTCACGCTCTCGTCATACACAACCGCGTGGTGAGTGGATCAGATCTAGGAGGTAGATTGACAGTACACAAACCACGAATTCGACGATAGTCTGCCTGACTCAGAGAGGCTTGCTTCAAACAGCTCGCTGTCGCTGCCATCGCCTTTCATATATGCTCTGCAGATTCCCGCTTTGGCTTCATCGCTTGATGATGCTTCCGAGCTCCACGAGAGAACGGGGCCTTTTGAGTAAGAATCCGTTCTCCTCCACGGTAGGACTTCGCGAGACACCATAACCAATGTCGTACTTGGCCATGATTGGTTGCTCCGGCCTCAGCAGCGTCTCATCAGCAGCAGCTGGCCATACGGACTTACCACGACAGCTCCACAACCACGTCGGTACTTTTTGTTTTCCTCGGTCTCATGATTCCACCGATCTGCCAGATATCGTGCCATCGTCTCATCTCCTGCAAATCGGTCCAGTCGCGATTCATCCGATATTCTGCAACCGGCCACAAGCGGACTAAGCAGTTCGCCATGTACATACACATGCAGAGGTTCTCGCCCATCCCACGTTCGTGTCTGCTGATCAGCTCGTTCACGGCATTCGATTCTTCTATCTTTACTCAACCTACAGTAATAGCACCGCATGTGTGCGCAACAACGAGTTGATAGCCTCGCGGCACATCGTCCGCAGCGCTTACGACGGCACCGAGATCAACCACGGTAGACATGAAACCATGTGCAACACATGAGGTGCGCAGATCATGAAGTCATGAGGCATCTTTTCCTGGACGAACACGCATGTCCTACAAACCACGATAGAAATAGACATCGAGCAAGACGTCCGTAGCAGTCTCGTAATCGTTTGTACTCATTTGCCTTCCAATCGCAGGCTGTCCACAAAACCAGTTCGTCCACTTCCAGCCGACTACCCCCACTTTCAAGGCGGGTTTCCTGATCAGGCAAGTCACATTGTCGCTCGGTGATATACGCAAGCCTGTCAGAATGTCCCAATGGCCGGGGTTTTGCATTCAAGACTCGAGAGCACTCGCCGATGACGTCGCGCAACGTCAGGTCAGTAGGAGAAGGTCGAGGCACGCCAGAACGCGTCATTCCGAGAGATTCAGTTTGAGAACAGGACAGCCGCAGGCCTTTTCACCTGTCGTATTACACCCAACGACGACTGCACTGTATCAAACTGGTAGCGCAGCAAGACTCGTCTCTGACCCGGATCAGGGCGAGTTCTGAGCAAGCGTCACGGTCACTGGGACTGTAGCGGCAGGAGCACTGGTGGAAGTTCGATAAATGTTCGATGGCCTTGTACGAGATCAAAAAAGGCAAGACTCTGCCAGGGAATACCGAGGATGCTGGCATACGTATTGTATTAATTGCACATATGGTGATGACTAGTGTTGTACTGTACATATTACAAAGTCATCCTACCATCAAGTCGCACGATCGTGTTATCTTATACTGGCCACATGCATTTCTGCGCTCGTCATTGTCGATGATGTTGTAGATCGTACTACTGACCAGGGTCGGTGTGATGAGGTCGCACTACGCGACGCATTATTCAGCTCGTCGTGAACGTGATATCCTTGCAGATCAAGCCCGCAGGCGCACCCGCGCACCCGAGCACCGATCCGTCGCTCTTAGCGTACAGACCCGGCCACGCCGACTGCGGACCCGTTACAGTCGTCTTGTGGCCCCAGTTACCGGTCGCCACTGGAGGTCCAGTCACGATCTTGAACGCGACCCCGGATTTGGGCCAGCTGTGCGCAGACGTGTCCTCGTCGGTCATGAAGGAGACCACGAGATTGCCGTCGCTCGTCGCCACGAGCTGCGGCGCACCAGCTACATGCGATGGGTGAGTGGAAACATGGGGCCAATGAGGCTCAACGGAAGAAGGACGAACCGTTGTTGTTGCTACCGGAAGGGTTGAAGACCTCGCTACGGGTGGTCCCCCAGGTCTTGCCATCATCGGTCGAGACGACGCTTTTCACAGAGAAGAGGCCAGAGTGACCCTCGGTGGTCTCGAAGACGCACATGAGCTTCGTCGCGCCGTCGTGGAACTCTGCCACATATTGTTAGCTCACCACGCGCTCACGAATGGTGTTGTACGTACGCGCACAGCCGGGCATACCATCGCGGCCGGTAGTCGTGGCGCCAGCAACCGTCGTCGTTCCAGACCACGTAGCACCGTTGTCCGTCGAGGTCTGTACAAGGATATCCTGGTCGTTCCCAGAATTCTCTGATGCATAGTAAACCTGGAGGGCGCTGCTGGAAGACAGGCGCAAGAAAGGCTCCTGTTACATGAGAAAACGCGCATCACTAGTCAGTTGCGACTCATTCGGACATAACCAACTACGAATGCTTTGGTCGAGCCTACCCGAGTTCTTGCTCTTTGGGCTCCACCAGGCGACACAGCCACACGATACCTTCGAACGCTACGCGAACGCACGCGAAGCGGGGCACAGACATGTGCTCGGCTGGGTCAGACCCGGGTCAGACCCCTCCTTGACCCAGGTCAGACCCCTTGGGGTCAGACCCTGGGTCAAGCCAAGGCGACATCAACGTCGGAGCTCCCGGGCACGTGAACCGCCGGGTTGGCCGGCCGTCCGCCACTCGCTGCTCGCTGCTCGAGCTCGGGCTCGCCTTCAGCGGCCACGAACCCGCCTTCTAATTGCCAAGTTCTTGCCAGTTCCAATTTTTCTTTCCAACTGTCCAATGTCTCGGCCATCCATAAGCGGGGGAGTGAAACCGATGGCCTTCAGGAACGCTGCGAGAGACTTGCCACAATGGAGATGGATGCCGACCCAGAGGAGCGTGTCTGGGAAACACCTCCAAAACCAGCGAGAACTCAGAGAGGTGCAAGGTGTAGCATAGTTAGCATATCCCGTCGTCAGTCGTGGCATCTGAGTCTTCATCTGCCTTCGCTCGAGGTGG